TTCTAATATGCTGATTTGCTGCTCAAGAAACATTTCTTCTTATTTCTTATCAATGTTGAAAACAGTTGTGCTGCTTCATATTTTTATGGGAACAGCAATAAATATTTTGGGGGGGATTCTTTGATGAATCATTGAAATCTTTTGTGACTAAATAAAGGTCTTTACTTTCACTTTTGATAATTTTAATGCATCCTTGCTGAAAAAAACTTATTCATTTCTTTCATTCATTCATAAATTAATAAATCTATCTTACTGCCTCCAAACTTCTGAACAATGGTATATGAAATAATATTATTATTATTTTTTATTATTTTTTATTTGTTTTTATGTTTATTTTTTACCATGTTGTTTGACAGGTGCATTAAAAATGTAATAAGTATATCCATCTGCCTAACTTTTTTCTTTCTCTTCGCTCAGGTGAAGCCCAGCCCTCTGTCCTCAGAGTGGAACGGGAAATCGGAGAACTGTGTGTTAAACATCAACTCCTCCATCTACGACGAGATCCAGCAGGAGATGAAGAGGGCCAAAGTGTCCCAGGCCATGTTCGCCAAGGTCGCCGCCTCGAAGAGCCAGGTACGGCCCGCCCCGACCGACCTCCGACTTCGACTTTCACTAGCCTGTCACACTCAAAGCGCTCGTCCGGTTGACAAAACATTGTCAAACATTTCTGTGTACTGTCTACAGAAAGCTCAGATAGCGAGATAAAAGCGTAAAAGGAGAGCTTTGTTAAGCCTCGCAGGTAGCACAGCGCCGTAATGACTTGCGCCACTTTATTGTGGGTTTGCGAACAGCAGACAGTGTTGCAACATAAAACAAATGTGTTTATATAATTCAGCTGTGCAACGACCACACCGTTATCTCACATAGCGAACAGTCTTCTGCTGAATACAGGCCTCTGTGAGAGACATTACCGTCTGTTTTAGCCTATTAAAACTAATTAAAGAAACGCAAGGCGAGACCTATTATTAAAGGTTTCACATATCTATGTGCACACTTAAAGATTTTCACTATTACATCTGATGGGGGGGAAAACGCGAATAAAAGCCCTAAATGATCTAGAAATATCAGCAGGTTTTTGCTGATTGCACTGATTACGGTGCCAGATACTTTTGTTTCACCAAATTACAGTTTGATGCACAAACCACTGTTTTTGTCGAAGGGAGTTCAAAGCCGAGAAGGGTGGAGGAGAGAAAAGACAAATCGGGGCATTTATTCGCGTAAGATTCTTCTGAGAGAAAAGAGCCCCCTCTCTGCCTGAGCCTGTGTGCTCCATT